GGAGTTGTAGTAGGCCCAAGATTTGATGGTGTGGTTTGTGGTTGTGGTCCTGTGGTTTGTGTTCCAGCAGTGGTCTGAGGTTGGGGCCCAGCAGTGGTTTGCGTTTGCGGTCCAGAAGAGGTTTGCGGCTGCGGTCCGGGAGAGGTTTGCGGTTGCGGTCCGGGAGTGGTTTGTGGTTGCGGTCCAGGAGAGGTTTGCGGTTGCGGTCCAGGAGAGGTTTGCGGTTGCGGTCCAGGAGAGGTTTGCGGTTCGGTCCAGGAGAGTTTGCCAGGAGAGGTTTGCGGCTGAGGTCCAGAAGAGGTTTGCGGCTGCGGTCCGGGAGTGGTTTGCGGTTGCGGTCCAGGAGGTTTGCGGTTGCGGTCCAGGAGAGTTTGCGGTTGCGGTCCAGGAGAGGTTTGCGGTTGCGGTCCAGGAGAGGTTTGCGGTTGTGGTCCAGGAGAGGTTTGCGGTTGCGGTCCAGGAGAGGTTTGCGGTTGCGGTCCAGGAGAGGTTTGCGGTTGCGGTCCAGGAGGTTTGCGGTTGCGGTCCAGGAGAGTTTGCGGCTGAGGTCCAGAAGAGGTTTGCGGCTGCGGTCCGGGAGTGGTTTGCGGTTGAGGAGAGTTTGCGGTTGCGGTCCAGGAGAGGTTTGCGGTTGCGGTCCAGGAGAGGTTTGCGGTTGCGGTCCAGGAGAGGTTTGCGGTTGCGGTCCAGGAGAGGTTTGCGGTTGCGGTCCAGGAGAGGTTTGCGGTTGCGGTCCAGGAGAGGGTTTGCGGTTGCGGTCCAGGAGAGGTTTGCGGGTTGCGGTCCAGGAGAGGTTGCGGTTGCGGTCCAGGAGAGGTTTGTTGCGGTTGGTTGCGGTTGGGTCCTGTGGTCTTTTTGACTAGTGATAGAACACAGAGAATAGTAACTTAAAACGTTATTTCATTTTCTCATTTATAGTAACTTCATAATAATCTTCCACTTGGGGTAATGTCAGTGTTCATTGCTAACATCTTTACTCCCCTGATTCTGATTTTGATTACCATGATCGTAATAATCGCTAGTATTCTCATCTTCATTATCGTTATCATTAATATGAAGATGACAAATTGGGATGATGACGATGGACGATGACAATGATGATGACAGTACCGATTCAAATGACTATCAATTGTTCAGTATTATGATTATAATATTTATATTGCTATTGCTGTTATTATTTATTATTTATATTTATTGCTATCATAATTAAATTATATTCATCATACTTTTATTTTTTTTATTATCATCATTATTATCATATTATAGTATATAGATAAAGCTATATTATTATTATGATTATTTATTTTTTATAGAATTTTTATCATTAGCTTTTATTATTTCTTAATAATTATTAATAGCCGGTTTTTTTAAGATTATTACTCCCGCGTTGCAGGACCATTTGTTATATTATTGTGAATTGTAGGTTGCGCATCTTCAAAGTACGATTCTTTTTTTAATTATCTTTTTTTTCAAAGTGACACTATTGCCTTGGCGGGTATGCGCTCTCTGAGTGCTTCTTATTACTTTTTATCATTATTTTCATATTGTCATGTAACTCCTCATCATTGTTTACTCAATATCACCGATTAAGTGAAGATTGTCACATTCCTTCTAGAATTACGTTTATCAAAAAATCATATCATTATTGTTACTTTGTATCACATTCACTATCAAATATTGTATCCTCATGACTGTTGCAACCCTTTTCTACCTTAATCAAAGAAATCATCCAAAAACACACTACAGTATTGTTTGTGCCTTTGTCGGTTCTAATTCCTTTACATGGCAGATTCAGAAATGCATACAGCTAATGGTTTGTGTATTGAGTTCATGAATCATATAACTATTAATTAATTCTGATTTTGAATTTTGTTCCTATCATTATCATCATTATTAGTAGGATCACTGACTTTCGTTTTATCACATTTTGTCATTACATAATCGCGACGATGATCATAACACTGAAATAGAATAACATGAATAGTACATTTCGTATGTGTATATATATATACTTAGAGCCATTTGTGGTCATGCTTATGTGCGTTTGTGTCTGTGCTTTACGTAATTTTCTTTCACTTACCTAGACAGCAGACTTTGGGTTCCTTGCATGGCTTCTTCACCTTGACGATTCTACCGTTGCACTTTCCTTCCTTCTTACACTTCCCTCCTCTGTCGCGACAGGTGCGGATTAAGCAGCATACCTTACCAGCTTTGCACTTCTTGCTGGGGGTTAAACATTTGCTTTGACATGTGTCTTCCTTTTTACACTGTCCACTTAGTGTGATTTACAAGTTGTTCCCTTTTCACAACAGACCTTACCACTCTTTGCACGGTACAGAGGGAGTAAGTATATCCCCGTCGCATTTGGCTTCCTCTCGACATTTACCTCCCAGATCTTTGCATTTGCTTTTTCCTTTTTCACAACAGACCCTACCATTCTTGCATGGTACAGAGGGAGTGAGTACGTCCCCGGTGCATTTGGCTTCCTTTCGACATCTAC